CTGGAGGCACCTGGCCGGACAGACCTGCCCATTCGGAAAGGGCCGCTGGGGCAGGTCCAATGCCCCTGGATATCCGCGACGCGACCGGCCTGCGTCCGGCGACTGTGTCGCCGGCGCTGGTCTATGGGGGTACAGGACTGAGCGTGCTTGTCTTGCCCAAGCATGGGGGCATCGCTGCGCGCTGCTCCCGCAGTTGTCTGCGCTGGATCAGGATTCCAAGCGCCGCCGCTCGGCGGGGCGGCCAGCCGTCGACGAGATTCTCGCGGGGATGGTCAAGGTCATGATTGCCGCGCATCTGAGCGTGACGATGACAGTCTGGCCACGCCAGCATACGAACAAAGTGGGGATGTGGATGGCCTGCGTGTGAAGATGCTGAGGTGCTTTCAGGCAGGAGGGATCGCGTCGCCCCCGAGACCGGCGCTCGAACTGCTGAAGAATGGGAAGCCGAGCCGGAGTGCCCTATCGAAGTGGGCAGGTGCTCTGAAGCGTCGTTCCGTCAATGAGTAGAGGGAAGCGCGTTGACCCGAGCGCGCCGCGCCCAGCCATTTGGACCTTTCGATCGATGCGTAGAGAGACGAGATTTTTATCAAGTCCACAGGGACATCCTTCCGAGTCTGCTCCCCAGCGGGCGACGAAGCGGGCGCGCGCGGTGAAGATTCACGGGCAGGTGGCGTTCGAAGAAGCCGTTGCTATTGAGCAGGAGGTCTGGCGTATGTGGGTAGGGCTGGGGGCAACCGTTCGATGGCGAGCTCAGCGATGCTGGCAGTGGGCATGGCGGCGATCGCGTCGCCGCCGCGTCTGCAACGAAAAATGGAAGGCTAAGGGAGGTAAGAAGGTCGCCCCCGCGCGGCTTGGATCCACGCGGTTGACGCGGGCTGCGACTCAAACTCGATATCCGCCAAGTACCTTGGAGAGGCGGGGGCGATGGGCAAGATCCCCCCGCGGGCCGCCCCCATTGCCCCGAACGCGGCGCGGGGCCACTCGCGGGCCCTCGGCCCGGTAAGGATCGCCAGTGATAAGCTGAACATTGGGCAAAGAAAGAGAATTTGCATTGTGGAGACTCCGAGGGCGATATCAGTGGGAGAGCTCTGCATGGACCGCGATTCCAATTTTTTTGATTGGAGAACCGGCAGCACACCGCGCCTACTGTTGCCCCAGGGAAGAAGGTTGGGTCTCTCAGTCGAGGGCAAGATCCCCCATCTCACCATGGAGTGCAGAGGGGCCTCAGGTCAAGTAGACAAGGCATCTCCCGCGCGCCCGCCTGGGCTTGAACGGCGGGCGCGCGCGGCGATCGGCGCGAGGCCTGGCCCGTGCGATCCCGGCGCGATGGGCGGCCCCCTGCCCCGGGCGTTCAGGCCCCGCGCAACCCTTGAGCTGCGCTCGCGGAGGGTGATGGCAGAATGGCAGAAGACTCTTGCGCGAATGGCAAGCTGGACATCCAGGCGGACGGCGCCGAAGGATTTCTAACTTCGGATGGGGCAGCTGCGCCGATGTCTGCTATGATCGCCCGCTCTATTACGAGCGCCGCGAAGCGACAAGACATGGATTGGCGAACGTGGACACGGGTCTGGTTAGCAGAAACTCTTCGCTGGCGCCGGCGCCCGACCGCGGCTGCGTTGCCAGCGCGCGACGTCAAGACCGAAGAGCGAACGAGGCCGCGCCTCGTCGCTCGACGGCGGCGCCCGCCCCAGGCGAAGAAGAGGTCGCCGAGGCGGCGCCCGAGGGGCCGGGGGCGTGGGGGGGTTGTCGACGACCGCGGCGACGATCTCATGGGGGCAGGAGTGCCCGATGGGGGCGGCGAAGCACGAGCGCTTCCAGCGTGGGGCCGTTCCCCTGCGGCATCTGCTCACGCGTGTGCCGCATGTGCTTAAGAATCAATTGTGTTCTACGTGCTGGTGGGCAAAGACATTGAGGGCGCGACAAACGCCAAATAATTCCAAGGCTTGCAACCATCTTACGTAAACCATACTCTGAGCCGACGAGGTTCGGCGGCCTGTGCACCATGGGCCATTGCATTGCAGCTGGCGAGCTACCGAGGGGGCTCCGCGGGGGGCCCCGCGCGTGACGCTGCGCGACTGGCGCGCGGCATTTCATGCGAGCCAGAGCGCTCGCGAAACATCGGCGGAGCACGCGGCCGATTTCCTTGTGAGTTTGAGGGCGCCCGCCGAGAAGCCAGTCTGCATCCGCGCGGGCGCGGCGCCTGAACTCGAGAAGGTATGCGAGTCACTGGGCGTGCATCCGCCGAGCGAGTCCACGACCGCCCGCGATTCCACGCAACCCGCAAGCAAGACGCATAACTCGGTGGCGGAGAGAGCCAGCGCCATCGTGCAGGATGGGGCCATAACCATGTTCATAACGGAAGGCATGCGGACTCCGTGCCGTCGTTATGTTGTCGCTTTTTGTTTTTTCTGTCACCGTTCGCAGGTACTGCTAGGATCGGTATTGCTTGTAGTATTAGGAACAATGGTAAACAACATAGTGATACGCATCGTGATAAGACAAAAATCGTAGTAATCATCCGTGTGCATGATTTCATATCAATGATAATAAGCATAGTGCTAATAATAACAATATTCATAATATGTGTTACATTAGAAATGAACAGATGTTCACTAACAGTATTGATAATCCAATTCATAATAATACACGGATAATAGCAGTAGTGGTGATATTCCGAATCATAATACGACGAAGCTTACTGGAGACACACTACAAAACAACAAATACACGCGACGTTCGCCTGCCCCGACGGAGCCAACGCGCGCGTAGTTTGAAATGGTTTCGCGTGGGCGGAAGCCCCTCACTCCGATGAGTGACCCGCCTGACCCCGCCCGCCAGTGAGGGTGCGCCCGCCCGCTGGTGATGGCGATAAATGGCGACCAGCATAGGGATGATGACGCATATGATGGTGATAGTGCAGTTGCTGGTGCTGATGGCGATGATGCTGCTGATGATGATGATGATGATGCTGATGATCAACATGATTATGACGACGGTGTTGATGATGGTTGAGGTGATAATGCTTGTGATGGTGATGATGATTGTGATGGTGATGGTGATGGTGGTGATGATGCGAATCTTGATGATGATGCTGGTAGTGATGATGTTGAGGATGATTATGATGATGGGGATATTGGGGAGGACGAGTATGAGGACAACTGCGATGCTGATGACGGGATTAGGGGACGATCCTGATGATGTTGATGGCGATGATGAGGATGAGGATACCGATGCCGATCGTATATCTGCTTAACATGATGAGGCTGCTGTTGATGACGGTGATGCGGATGATTATGATGATGATGATGCTTATGCTGATGATGATGATAATATGAGAGACGATCATGGCGATGGTGATGACGATGAGGATCATGATGATGAGAATGAAGCTGATTCCGATTATGATGCGTATGCTTCTCATGCTGCTTATGTTGTCCATGATGACGGGGATTATGGAGACGATACTGATGGTTATGATGTTCAGTTGAATGATGATGCTGCTGATGATGATGCTGATGCAGAAGAAGACCGTGCTGCTGATAATCGTGCGGATGATGATGGTAATGATGGTGTTGATGACAATGATGTTCACGATGAAGATGGGGGCACAGACGTCGTTGATCATGGCGACGATGCTTATACTGGTGATGATGATGCGGATCTTCATGATGATGATGCTGATTTTTATGGTGATGTTGTTGAAGCTGATTATGATGATGATGTGGAGGAGGAGGGTTATGATGCTTCTCATGGTGGTGATACGGATGCTAAAGCCCGTGACGATTATGATGGTCATGCTGACGGTGGTTGTGGCGAAGACGATGTTGATGATGTTGTTAACGAGGGTTACGATGAACATTCCGATTCTGATGATAATGAGGAGGATTCTGATGACGCCGATTCGGATCATGATGATGAGGAGGAGGAGGAGGATGGTGATCATGAGTAATATACATATTTCGAATAATCTGTTTATAATGATGATGGCGGCGGCGACGACGACGACGACGATGACGATGATGATGGTGGTGGTGGCAGTGGTGATGATGATATTTGCCGGCGGCCTTCGACGTTGCCGTCGTCGTTGTTCTCGTCGTCGCCTTCGCCGTCTTTGTCGTCCTCGTTGTTGCCGTCGTCGTGGTCGTCCTCGTCGTTGTCGTCCTCGTCGTCGTCGATGTCCGTCGTCGTCGTCGTTGTCGTCGTTGTCGTCGTTGTCGTCCGCGTCGTTTGCCGGCGGCGACGACGTTGTCGTCGTCGGCGTCGTCGTTTGCCGGCGGCGGCGGCTGGGGTGGGGGGTGTTCTGAACCTCTCCAACAATTTTCCCAGGGGTGGGGAGGGATCCTGGACCCCTCGCTGTAATTATTCGAAGGGGGGGTTGGTCTGGACCTGCTGGTTCGGGGCGTGGGGAACGGAGGTTGGAGGGGGGTACCCTGGTTTCTGACCCCGCTCTTCGGATTGTTTTTCAAAGGGGAGGGGTTCCTGAGCCCCCCTATAGATTTGTTTCATGCCAGCGACGGTGGATCGCGCTCCCTTCGAGGTTGGAATCATCACGCTCTCTCTCTCTCTCTCTCTTTCTCTCTCTCGCGCTCCCCCAATTTCCATCCTCATCATCAGCCGCCCTCCTCCCTCCCCCCTCTGGCCATCTCTTCGCCGGCTTCATCCTCAACATTCTTGCTTGCTCAGTACCCTCGTCCTTCTCGCTTTGCGCGCTTTCCTCACCCTCCTCGCCCTCGTGCACGTCCTCCTCCCCTCCTCCGCCTCCTGGGCTAGCAGAGCGCAGTTCAGCATCTTGTAAACACTGCCGCATCCTGTCCTGCCCCCCTTGGGCTTTCTGAGCCATGAATGCACCGCTCACTTCTCGTCCGCACCCCCATCCTGATCCCCACCCTTGCCCCCCACCCCCAATCCCGTCCTCGTCCTCAGCCTCATCTCCCCGCCTATCGTCGTCGTCTACCTCACGCTCATCCGCGTCCTTCCTTCCACCCCCTGGCGCCGGAGAG